AGGTCATATGAGCGCACGAGACACACTAAACATTTTCAGTTGGTAGGAAATTTTGAATTTTGCCCAGGTGGCGGCCGAAGCCTATTCGTATTGATTTTGGACCACAAAGGGATCTTTACCGAGCGCAACTTGCACACGGGACCTCCGAGATTATTCGCCCTTGTCCGAGAAGGCTAGGTGTAGATCTTTCCTATCATAAGATCAGGGGTGTGCCTGAAAGACTGCAGTAAGAAGGAGCCACGGAGAAGCAGTAGAAAGGCTGCAGAAGAGGGGGCGAAGGGGGTGAGGGAGTGATGGGGTGGGGGCAGAAAATGGAAACGAAAGCAGACGATAGAACATTGCTAGAGAGCAGAATAAGAGGTGAAAGGAGGCAATTTTAGAAAATATTTATTTTCCGTCGCTACCCGGAATCGAACCCGGGATCTTTGAATGAGAGGCGAGCACCTTAACCCCCGTGGTTATGTGTGTGCGTGTACCTGTGTGTTTGTATGTGTGAGTGAATGTTCTGTGTACTCACGACAGACGTTAACGATTTCAGCATTTTATATTATCAAACATTTTTGTAAAAAAAATAATAATACCGGAGTCCGCGTTCCAAACAAACGCACAAACAAACAAAAAAAACAACAGACAAGAAATAATTCCTCAGAGAATTAAGCCTGTGATAGACCACCTTAAAGCTGACTCTTTCAGCGCTCAGCGTTACGAGAATGTTAGTTGCGAATGACCCCACACTCTGGCGGAGTCTTTCTAATTGACGTCTCTAATCCCTACCTACATGACATTGTGTGGCACGTCAGAGTATTGACTTAGCTACAGTTTAGCCAAAACGTACACCAACATCAGTGCGCCAGAGTAAAATTAACATGTACTCGTAAATGTTTGTGGGGAGGGGATGGAGGGAAAAAATGGGGGGGGGGGGGGTGAATAATTCTTTAGAATTACGAAACAAAAGTACATTGACGTACGAAAAGAAACCAGTTGTTCTACTGTCCTTCTTTAAAAATCCTTCATTTAGCTAGAATCTACCCACCTGTTCGATTGATGCTTACCTGTGTGAGACCATAATATCCAGGTGAGTAGATTTTCAGATTTTAGAATGCTGTCTGCGCAATAATATTTTGAAGAGTTTTCGTGGCTGTGTAAGCGTCCAGGAACGGGGGGGGGGGGGGGGGGGGAGATGGTAATTTCTACTGACAGTCGAACCTGTTCTGACGACCACTTGTCCAATACAATGACCTGTATGAACGACCACTTCCTACTTCCCCCTTGCTTGTTGAAGATAGTATAATGACACTGTCAAAGACGTCCACCTTTCTAAAACAACCACACTTATCTATCTCCTCGACATTTTTTTA